TCCTTAAAAGAGACTAAGTGTCTCAAACCTTACCAAAATCATTCAGGAATGACTTCAAATTTTGCACACAAGTCACATTCGACATTACGGACTTGCCCCAACTTTCGGAATCGCATTCCGACCCCGATATCAAAATTTCCACTTCCGGTCGAATTTTTTCAAAAACCTTCAAATTTCTATATTTAGCCAAACGGCTCCAAAATGACTTACGGACCTCTGAATTCACTTCCGATCGCGCTCCCAAATCCAGAATCACCATACGGAGCTACTCCCAGTCTCGGAATTCCAAACGGACATCAATAACACTGAAATGCATTTTAAGCCAAACTGATGTAATTTCTTCGAAAATGCTATCTTCCACAATAGACACCAAAACGCTCCCGGGTTATCCAAAACCCGATCCGGGCATACGCCCAAGTACGAAATCATCATACGAACCTGCTGGAACCTTCGGATCCCAATTCCGAGGTCTTTTACTCAAAATTCCAATCCTAGTTCATTTCTTTAATTTTAAGCTTTCAAAATGAGAATTTCCATTTAGATTTGACTCCAAACTTCCTGAATTTTAATTCTGACCATACACTCAAGTCAATATACCTGAGATGAAGCTGATCATGGCCTCAAACTGCTGAATTACACGCCGAAGCTCAAAACGACCGATCGGGTCGTTACAACTATATATATAGCTTCAATTTACTATATAACCAGAAAAAATTTAATCGCGCACTCGCAGTCTTAAAAATATCAATGAATTTATAAAGGCTCAAAAACGTCAATAAATTCACAGAATAGACTAGCAACTAATAACGAATTAGGTAGTTTTCTCACTTTACTATGAGAAGAAAACACTGGTAAGTAGCTTACATTTGGCTTAATTCATAATTTTTTTTTATTTATATAGAACACTTAATGTAGTGTATAGCTAATGGTAAGGCATTATAGCATGTTATTTTATGTCGAATACTTATATGTAGTGTATAGTTAATGGTAGCCAATTATAGCATGTTATTTTCTTAGATTAACACATTATAACTTAAAACACTCTACAAATTGTTAATGCCAGATTAATATCTTTTTAAATACCTCCCAAATGTTCAATTGAATATAATGTTTGAATTTCTTGGAATAAACTTCACAATGCATGTCAAGCTTTAAGACGGTGGTGGTAGAGTTCTCATTCTTTTTTTTCAATGACATACTGCTAGTCTTGTTCTGATCTTTGAGGTCCTTCTTTTCTCCTCCTTAACTGATTTTGGTTTCTTCTTCATTTTTTCCTCTTATAACACCAAAATAAAAAAGAAACGAATCTATAAAAGTATTAACAACAAACAACAACAAGTCCAGTAGTTTTCACAAGAAGGATAAGATGTACGCAGCTTTACACCTACCCTAAAAGGGCAGAAAGACTGTTTCCCATAAACTATAAGAGCATTATGAATACACTAAAAAAAAGTGGAATTAGCTACGAACGTCATCGCTAATTTATCGCTAAATCGCTCATAGCTAGCAAAATCTGTTGATAATCGGTCGCTAAATGTGATTAGCGACGGATTTTTCTATTTAGCTACAAAATTTGTCCGTCGCTAAAACCAAATTTTTTAGTAGTGAAATTTTTAAAAAATGAGAATTTGAGAAAAAAAATTAAAATGTTGGAGAGAGACGTATTTCCTTCAACCATTTGAAGGAAATTTAAAGAGTAGTGAGGGTTAGAAGAAGATTGAATTTAGATAGATAAAGAAATAAGAAATATGAAAACTGAAAATAGTTAAAACATAAATACATAAAAATCTATTTCTTCCAAGAATTTTTTGTACCTAAGTGTAGAGTAAAGCAAGATTTCCACTATCCCATACATTTTCCATAACAACAAAGCTAATAAGCAAAACCGAATAGACTAATGTCATGAAAAGGTCCAAGCAGATGTTGTTAGGTTTGGGGACGACTCTATGAGGGCAAAAGAAATGCGAAGGATTAGGGTAAATAAGAGCAGATACAAGAAGACACGTGGCAACGGGAGATAATAGTTAATAAGAGATCGACGGCCTAAATGCTTGAGATCCAATGGTGCAGAAAGTTTGAGTTAGTTAGGATGTTGGGCTGCTTATAACTGAATTGGATTGGGCCCAACAAAATCAGTTTTGGGACCGGTATTCTTTGTTCCTTCTCAATTCTCTCACGTTCATTCTCTTCTCTCTTCTCTTACTCTTCCTCTCTCTTATCATTTTAATTCTTCTTTTAGGTTTGAATTCATCAATGGAGCTTGCAGATTAATTCAGTTCAATTTGTAATTTTCATTGTATCTGAGTTGACAAGATAAATAAAAAGCTTTTGTTCGTTCATTTCTTAATTAACTCCTTAGTTTACATTTCAATTTGGCAAGTCCATTACAATTAGTATCAGAGTAACTTCCTGGCCAATTTCACGATTACAGGAGCAGAAACAAGGTTTAAATCTACTGACGAATCAGTTAGAAAGTTAGAAGCACAATTACAGAGTTACATGTTGTCAAATGATTCGCGAATTGAAGATTTAGGTAAAAAAATTAACAAGCTAATGAAGAGGATCATTTCCCCACAAGGAGAAATCCTGGGAAGTGCACCGACTGAAGGTCTGCAAATTATGTGGTCTGGTAATCGACCACGAACTTGGGAAAATGGCAAATCTTCTTTGGGTCGATCACAAGGGAACTTCTCTCATTCAGGTGGGAAATTCCATATTTTGAAGGAGTAGATCCATGTGCCTGGTTGCGCAAATATGAGAGGTACTTTCAGTACAAATTACATCACAGATCCACAACAGAAATTGGAAGGAGTTGTTCTTCATCTCAATGGTAAGGCTGAATCTTGGTTCTTCTCCTACCATGTTAGTAAAAGCATAGTTACATGGGCAGATTTTACTACAGATATCTGTAATAGGTTTGAAGGTGCAGCTAACAGCAAAATTAAACCTCATTGGTGAATTTAAAAACATAGAACAAAAGGGAACTGTTAATGAATACTTGGAAGAATTTGAGACTTGAAGGCTTGGGTGTTTATCAGGAATCCTACAATGCCAAAAGAATTCTTCTTAGATTTTTTCATTGAAGGGTTGAAGGAAGAAATTAGGCATTCAATAAAATGCTTGACCCATATTCCTTCAGTAAGGTTGTGGAGAAGGCTAGGCATCAAGAGAATCTGTTGGAATCCTTGAATAAGAAGGCTAGGTTTCAGAGGAATAAAGGCCCAGATACAACTTATTCTTCTCAGAATACTAGGGTTCCTAATAATTCACAAGTAATCAGGGTGACAAACTATTTGAAAGTAGGAGAGACCAAGGTCTTTGCTACAAGTGTGAAGATAAATATCACCTAGGGCACCAATGCAAACAGAGACAGTTAAATGCCATATCTGCAACCACTGATCCAAATGCAGAAGAGCCAGCGGGAGCAAAGATTGAAGAAACAGTCTTAGACTTAGAGGAAGAAGAGGTAGTTGATGAGGCAATCGGCCTAAATGCTTTATCAAGTACTGAAGTTCCTAATACCATTAAATTGAGAGGTGAGTCTAAGAAGAACATCATGTCTATCTTATTAGACTCTAGCAGTACCCATAGTTTTCTTGATATAGAGACTACCAAGAAAATGAGTTGTGTAATTAAGGAGAACTCTCATATGAGGGTTACTGTAGCAAATAGAAATCATGTGATGAGTCATCACACATATCCCATGTTCAAATGGAGAATTAGAGTTTGAAGATTCAATGAGATTGATCAGATTAGGAGGAAATGAAATGATTCTAGGAGGTGATTGGATGAAAAGACATAATCTTATACTTCTGGATTTTATAGAGTACAAGGTTGAAGTGACTTATAAGGTTAAAAGGTGGAATTGAAAGGCATCTACAATCAAGGGGAGCTAAAAAGTATGTCTACCTATAGGGTGAAACAATTACTCAAGAAAAGGAAGACAGTATGAGCTCACTTGTTTACTATTTCAGCTACACAAGAACAAAAAGAAGGGGATATAACTGCAACTATCAGCATAGTCATCCAACAATTTCTGATGTATTTGCTGAGCCTACATCCCTTCCTCCTAGGAGGAATCGTGATCACCACATTCCCCTGAAATCAGATGCAAACCCAGTCAGTATAAGATCATACAGGTACAATTTTTTCCAAAAAAATGAGATAGAGAAGCAAGTCAATGAAATGTTACATAATGGCCTAATACAACCTAGTCATTCCCCTTTCTCTTCCCATGTCCTACTAGTTAAAAAGAAAGATGGAAGTTAGAGATTTTGTCTTAATTATAGAGAATTAAATAACAAGAGCATTAAAGACAAATTTTCAATTCCTCTAGTAGATTACCTAATTGATGAACTGTGTGGGTCAAGTGTATAATCTAAGATTGACTTAAGGGTAGGCTATCATCAAATTAGAATGGGGGAGGATGATATTTACAAAACAATATTTAGGACTCATCTGGGGCACTAATGAGTTTAGAGTCATGCTTTTTGGCTTGACCAATGCACCTGCCATTTTTTAGTCCTTAATGAATCATGAGTTCAAACCCTATGTGAAGAAGTTTGTCCTAGTATTCTTTGATGACATACTAGTCTAGATCCCCTCTATGGCATCTCATTTCGCTCACCTCAAAAAAGTGTTGGAAACATTAAGAGCAGGACAACTCTTTGTTAAGCTGTCCAAATGCTCCTTTGGACAACTTAAAGTAGACTATCTGGGACACATCATAACTGGTGAATGGGTATCAACTGATCCTTCCAAAATTGAGGCCATGTCAAACTGGCCTATACCCAAATTAGTTAAATCCCTAAGGGGTTTCCTGGGACTGACACGATGCTATAGAAGTTTTGTCAAATCATATGCAGTCATTAGCAGGCCTTTAACAAATCTGCTGAGGAAAAATGCATTCCAATGGAATCAAAAAGCTGAGCATGCATTCTTTCAGCTTAAGAAAGCCATGACAACAACTTCTGTACTGGCATTAGCAGACTTTACTAAGTCTTTCATCATTGATACTGATGCATGTGATAAGGGTATGGCTGCAATATTGATGTAGGAAGGCAAACCCATTACCTTCTTTAGCAAGCACTGGCTCCTAGCCACATGGGGTTATCTACTCATAAGAAGGAGTACATGGTTGTACTATCTGATGTTGATAGGTCGAAATACTACATACAAGGGAGCCATTTTATTATCAGAACTGATCAGCAGTGTCACGACCCAAACCGATGGGCCGCGATGTGCACCCGATACCTTACTCAACTGAGTACCAACATAACGTATCGTACTTGTCACACCTCCTTTTTCCTACCCCGGAAGGGTATAAGGAGTTTTTCCAATTAAAGGACAATCGAAACGGGATTATTTTTTATTGAAAATTCAGAGTCGCCACTTGGGATAATTTATGGTGTCCCAAGTCACCGGTTTATTTTAAATCCCAAATCGAGGAAGATTGAATCTGATTAAGTCTGCGAAACACAGAAGACCAGGTAAGGAATTCTGTTAACCCGGGAGAAGGTGTGAGGCACTCCCGAGTTTCGTGGTTCTAGCACGGTCGCTTTAATAACTATACCTGGCTTAACTAATTCTGGATATTTTATGTTATAGAGAAATTTATGCACTTTTGCCTCAAACCGCTTTTAATTGCTTGATTGGTTTGTAATTAAAGAATGGTGTCAAATAAAGCCAGATATTTGTGTGCTAATATCATCACATTTAAAATTATATAATTATCTTGAATCGAATCATGCGTACGTGTATTCATCCTGCTTAGTATGTCAGGAATCATGTCACGCGTACTTGTACACAATTAATAACACTTTATTATTTTTAAGATTATTTTGTCAAAGTTGCGCAAACGCATGCTTTGCCTTTAATTTGGGAAATTATAATTATGTCATACGAACGTATACATAATCATGATAACTTATTGATTAACACGCGCCTAAAACATANTAACACAAGATTATACATAATTTTATTGATTTAATACTCTTACTTATTTAGCAATATCATCACTTTAACACCAAAACAAAAGCTAGAAAAGAATATTTTAGCCTCGAAACCGTGAATAGGACATGCTGAAAAATTAGATATAAAGAAACATAAACTTTTAATTTTGAGAGGAAAAAAAGAATAAAATATATAGTTATCGAAAATACTATAACTAAGTAATGTAGTAGACCAAAGTATATTCTTTTCAGTTAAACCTTAAAGATCTAAACTTTAATCCCTATGTAATTTTAATACTTAAGGAAAAAAACTCTAACTATTTGCAAAACTAGTTTCAAACAAACAAGCAGTAAAAAAGAAGAGAAAATAACGAAACATTTACATAAAACTAAACCAAAATAGAAGCCTTAAAGAAAAAGTAGATTTAAAAAAAATCTTTCATTGATGGATTTCTAACCTTTTGTTGTGTACAGAAAAGACAAGAACTTCAATTTAGGAAATAGAAATCAACGGTGACTTTCTTTCTTTGCTCTCAGTTCTCGTCCTCCTCTCCTCTTCAAAATTTTCTTTAGTCTAAATAGGTAGTAGAAAAATGTCCTTCCTATTCACAAATGCCCCTCACCCATTTTATTAATCTCCACTCAAATCTTTTTTAGTTCACTCCTAACCCTACCATTATAGAAGTGCTCTCCCCATTAAGTGTAGTGAGGAGATGATTGAAATTGATGTGGGGTCACCAATAAGATCCGAAAATTAGGCCTAAAAATGGGTTGCTCGAACCCAAGTTTTATTTTTTTACCCGCGAAAGAGACTAAAAATATGACCTTATTTATTAATTAAGTAAAATAATTATTAAAATAAGACTGACCGTTAAAATAAAACTATTTTTGGTATTTTTCAAGATTAAAAATGACTACAAAACATTACTAAAATTTTTATTTATTTTTTTAATTTTTTTTTTCTTGTAATAAAATAAAGTAAAAGAGTCAAAATGAGTTGAAATAGCTATATTAGGCCTAAATTAAATATTTACGTGCTAAAATTTGAAAAATCTTACGGATGGTCAAAAATCACATGTCTACAGCTGCCCCTCTTTGACTGGAAACGTGAAGAGTTTTCAGACAAAGAACGACTAGACAGGTTTTTTGACCCGACCCTTATTTAAAGAGACCAAAACTAAGAGAAAAGTGGAATGTGACCGAGCCCTGGTAACTGAGCTGCCTACATATCCTTGGCTATAAAGGAATCAAGCCACGTGTAGTTCAGAGGTGAATGAGGTGATGAAGTGCCGAGGTGGAGAGCCGATTGAGGTGCCGTCGAGGTTCCGGTCCACGGTTCCTATTATTACATCAAAAATCAAAATGAAAAAGACTAACTAAGCCTGTCAACTACGAGTTACAAGATTCCTATTTATAAGTCTTCTGAAGCTTGATCTTGAGTCTTGAATGGTTCTTTATGCAGACTTTAGATTTGAACCTTGACGCTTGCTAGCTGCAGGTGCTATTTCGTTCTTCTTCAGATTTTCAAATCAAGACCGGACATGTAGTGCGGGTGACCTCAACCATGTCTTGAGAAACTCACATCTTTCATCAACTTCTGCATTTGAATTCAGTTCTTTTTTTTTTCTTTATTGTGAATAACTTATGTTGATCACCTCGGACTGTTGACTCGTATTCTTGCCGCGAGCTTCTTTGGTTGCTGACTTGAATTGCAATCTGAGATGCTTTTCCTTTTCTTCAGGTGGACGCCTGATTGCTGAACTCGAATTGTATTCCCTT